TTACCTTTTCAGCTTTGCTAAAGTCTCTTCTTCCTCATGAAGTTTTTAGATTTCCTACATACTTAAGTAGGTTAAGAGCTCAACCATCTTTTAACAAAAGCTGAACTTACTCTGAGAACAACAAGTAAATAGTCTCTTTATTCCCACAGGAATAGTTCTTCTCCCTTGTCACACCTAAATTGATAGTCAACTGTTCCAGTTTGCAATTAATTTTTTGTGTTTCTCCAAATAATTCCTTCATGAGAGACCAGAATTTCCTGTAGTCTTGTCATGGGATATAAATCCATTCAATCTTCATTACCCAAATACAGTCAAAGCACTAATGCTTGAGAAGATTTTTTTTTTTTTTAATTTGTAATAGCGTGAGTGAGTTGGGTGAAGAGATAGAGAGTGAGACAGGGAGAGTGACAAAGATTCCCCCTACCCCAGGGTGGATGGCCACAAAATTTCTTCTCCCTCATTCTCCTCTGCTGGGTTGGGACTCTAACTGCATAGTTGGCCATGTAGGATGCAGCAGCATTAACTACCCTGCCATGTGCAAACCCAGAAAAATACATTCTTAATTCTCAGATTTACCTACAGGAAACTAATCAAATTCTTTCTTTATGGATTCCTTCTGTTAATTTTTTAGCTGTCTTACTTTATAACTCTTCAGAATAGGACTTTTCAATAAACTGTCTTTCATTTTTACTTATTTATTTATTTACTTTTACTTATTTATTTATTTACTTTTTTTTTTTTTGGAAAGGTTTTTTTTTTTTTTTTTTTTTTTGCTTTAGGGTTTCAGAAAGACAGAGAGAGAGACAGAGAGACAGAAAGCGAGAAATCATCCCTCCCCCCAGTGGGGATGGTCACGCTGCAATCCCTTCTCCTCCATTCTCCTCTCGGGATCTTGGGTGCACATGCACACGTACGTGCCTGGCGTGAGTTTAAGCCACCAGGTCCGGGCCTCGAACCGCCGTCGACTATGTAGGAGTCCAACGACATAGCCATTATGCTAACTGATGGACCCCTTTATTTATTTACTTTTAAGAGAGGTTTTGCTATTGGGCATGTGTCATCACTTCGCTGAGAGACAGAGAAACAGAAGTGAGAAATCACTCCCTGGAGGGATGGCCATGTCACAATTCCTTTCCCTCCATTCTCAGAATTTTTGGCATGCACGTACACACACCCAATGTGAATTTCAAGCCAACATGTTTGGGACTTGAACTGCAGTCAGCCATGTGCAAATCCAAAGGCATAACAGTTATACCAACTGCTGGTTCTGTGTGTCTCTTAACATCATCTGAATATATTGTTTATTTTATTTTTTTTTAATCTTTAAGGGATACTAGATTGCTTTGTAGTAGTAGACATTTCCTTTTGTAGAATAACTCTTTCAAAGACAAAGGCCATTCTGTGTTATAAAAAGTAAGATTATTTTATTTGAAGTATGATGTTCTCTCAGACACCATAGGCATCCCTTAGTAGATAAACCTACTTAATTAATGCATTTTATAAAGCAAGATTAATGACACAGGTATGATCTGCCAACATATTTAAAAGCCTATTTCTTTTTGCAGTATTTGATAATTTAATACTTTTCAATGTTAGCCGTCTTTGATGCACTTTATGAACAGAAATTTATAAAATGAATCTAAAGTTTTCGGCCCCTTTTAATTTAATTTTTTATTTGTTCATTTTCCATGAGGAACAATTGATGAGAAAGAGGCAGAGAGGGAGATGGGGAAGCACCCCATCAGAGTCTTTGTACTTCAATCCAACACCGGGCTCAGCCATCCAGGATCAGGGCACATGGACATTCCTACCCTATACAGGGAGACCTTGGGAATTGAACCGGGGACCTTCACATGTGAGTTGTGCATCATAGAGCATTGTGTTGCCAAAGGACAACCACTGGAAAATTGTTTTGGTTTTCCCTAAGTTTTATTTCCATGTCAACACACTCTTGTTTACGTAACTGACTCATTTTCAGTGTCTTGTGTCCTGTTCATCTGTGCTATATAGGGAGTATATTTATCAACTTTTTCCCCCACGTTTTGTTTTTGTTTTTTGTTGAGAGGTTTTTGCTATAGGGTGCGTGTACTCGTCAGACAGACAGAGAGAAACAGAGAGACAGAAAGCGAGAAATCACCCCAGGGAGGATGGCCATGCCGCAATCCCTTCTCTTTCATTCTCCCCTCAGGATCTTGGGCACGCACACACATGCGCCCGGCGTGAGTTTAAGCCACTGGGTCTGGGACTTGAACTGCAGTTGGCTACATGACATAGCCATTACGCTAATTGCTGGTCCTGACAACGTTTTTCCTCAAGTTTTTTTTTTTTTTTTGCAATAGGGCATGTGTGCTTGCTGGAGAGAGAGGGACAGAGACTTAGAGAAGTAACTTCTTTTTTTTTTTTTTAATTTGCAATAGGGTGAGTGAGCTGGCTGGAGAGACAGAGAGATAGAGAGACAGAAAGGGAGAGTGAGAAAGAACCCCACACCCCAAGGGGAAAGGCCACAAAATTTCTTAGGGTAAGTGAGAAATCATCCCTCCCAGAAAGAATGCCCATGGCTGTAATCCCCCCTCCTCCATTCTCTCTGGATTGGAACATGCACACATACGCAGCCGGTGTGATTTTCAAGCTGCCGGATCCAGAACTTTAACTGCATTCTGCCATGTGAGTCCAGCACATTAAATACTTCACCACCTGCTGGTCTCTTCCTCAGCCCTTTTAATCTCATGAGGCCTGCAGGTAGCATGGATTTTAGGGTGCTGGACACCCACATGGCCGACAGTGGTTCGAGTCCCAGACCTGGTGGTTTGCTTTCTCACTTTCCCTCTGTCTCTCACTCTCCCTTCTCTTTCTCTTTCTTTGTTCCTCTCTGGTCAAAATTAAAATAAATAAGTAAAGAAAGAAAGAAAATAATTCTTTAAAAGAATTCTTAGGGGGCGATACTGTCTTTCAGTTCTTTCACTGTATTTACATTTACAGAATAGTCCCTGAAATAAGGGAGAAATTTCAAAGTCATTATTTTTTTTTTCTTGAGAGGTTTTTGCAATAGGGCATGTATACTCGCCAGAAAGACAGAGAGATAGAGAGACCAAAGAACGAGAAATCACCCCCCAGGGGTGATGGCCACGTCTCAGTCTTTTCCTCCATTCTGCTCTACGGATCTTGAGTACACACTCACACACACACACACACACACACACACACACACACACACATGCCCATTGTGAGTTTAAGCCACTGGGTCCAGGGTTTGAATCGCAGTCAACTACATGGGAGTCCAGCGACATAGCCATTAAAGCCAACTGCTGGTCCCTCAAAGTCATTCTTTAGTACAGATGGGGTCTTGGACATTTTCTGCAACATCTACTGGCAAATGAAGATACTCAGTGATTAGTTATTTCCTTGATAAATGAGAATGTCTTAGACTTTGTATCTCAACCCTATCTTTTTCTCTTCAGAGCTACTTTTAGAGAGGGTTTATCTAGTTTGTTCTTTGCTATGTGCTAAAAAGCTTGCTTCTCTGAGAAAAGTTTACAATTGTCCAGAATTGTCATTAGTTGGGTGAGTAAGTTTCTTTCATCAGAGCTGAAAAACTTCAAACGTATCTCACTATATATTTTAATTCTTATTCTCCAATCTTCATATTTTGACCAATAGTACTGATAATTCACCACTAAAAATCCAATGTAATGTCAATATTCTCAATGTAATCAAATGCACTGACCATTGGTCATCCTACCTGCTCTTTCTTTACATGATGTTTCCTGATTTTAATGTAGTTATCACCATTGTTATTATTTTGATCATCATTCTTATGGATCAGGAGGAAATAGAGCATTAATGGTCACACATTTTCCATTTGTCCTTCTTTCTATTTAACAAAGTAGTAGAATGTTTATTATTTTCCAGACACTAGACTGCATTAAGTAGAACAAAGTTTAATCATCTTTTTGTGAAAAGTAAAATGTAGACACCATCTGGGATCTTAACAACATCAGCAACAACCTTTGATGACTCTGATATATCATTTCAGAAACTTAAATATCACAAAATAACAAGGTATTATTATAATCCCATATAATTATTTTAGAAAGTTAGATCTCAAGCATTGCCAAACTTTTATTTTTTTAATTTTTTTTAAGTTTGTGAGAGGGTATATGCACTCACTTGAGAGAGACAGAGAGAGAAAGAAAGGGAAAGCCAGAAATCACCCCCATGGGTAATGGTCACATTGCAATTTTTTCTCTACTTCTCCATCCTGACAGGATTTAGGATTGAGATTCATAGGTGACTGCTTTTCACTCACAAGAAAATATTATTGTGGGAACAGCAGTTAGCGTAATGGCTATGAATTTTTTTTAAGTTTGTGAGAGGGTATATGCACTCACTTGAGAGAGATGGAGAGAGAAAAAAAGGGAAAGCCAGAAAGCACCCCCATGGGGAATGGTCACATTGCAATTTTTTTTCTACTTCTCCACCCTGACAGGATTTTGGATTGAGATTCATAGGTGACTGCTTTTCACTCATAAGAAAATATTATTATGGGACCAGTAGTTAGCGTAATGGCTATGTCGCTGGACTCCCATGTAGTCGACTGCGGTTCAAGTCCTGGACCCGGTGGCTTAAACTCATGCTGGCTGTGTGTGCGTGCTTGCCCAAGATCCTGAGAGGAGAATGAAGGAGAAAGGATTGTGGTGTGGCCATCCACCCTGGGGGGTGATTTCTTGCTTTCTGTCTCTCTCTGTCTGTCTGGTGAGCACATGCGCCCTATAGCAAAAACCTCTCTAAAAAAATATATATAAATATATATTATTTTTGATTAATTTACCATTTTGAAAATAAAAGTAGAATTTATTTCATATGAGATAAAAAACAAAATCATTTATTTTTATTATTTTTTATTGTTAATAATAATAAAAATGTCTAAGAATATTGGGGTAGAGCCAAAATTCATGCATAAAGACTGACAAGAAATCAAGTTTTTGGAGTCATGTTTTGAATCAAAACCTAACCCACTTAAGTAGGAATTTTTTCAGTGCCACCATGACATCTTTGTTTCTCAGACAATATATTATGGGGTTAAATAATGGGGTCACAATTGTATAAAAAAGAGAGAGGAATTTGTCTATTCCTGTTGAGTGAGTGGATTTTGGTCTCATATATGTAATGATCCCTGATCCAAAGAATAAAGCTACAACCATGAGGTGGCAAGAACAGGTGGAGAAAGCCTTGGCTCTCCCAGTTGCTGATGGCAACTTCAGGATGGTTGAAATTATTTTCACATAAGACCCAAGTATCAGCATAAAAGGAATAGTGACAAGTACAACAGCAACCACATAAATCAACATCTCAATCATAAAGGTGTCTCCACAGGCTAGCATAATTACTGGAAGTACGTCACAGAAAAAGTGATTCAGTTGGTTAGATCCACAGAAGGGCAGAGAGAAGATCTGGTAAGTAAACCCAATGTACATTGGAAATCCACTGATCCAACAGACAGAGGCCATCTGGATACACAGTCTATTGTTCATGATGAGTGAGTAGAGTAATGGGTTGCAAATGGCAACGTATCTATCATAAGCCATTGCTGTCAGAATAGAACACTCAGTAGCTCCAAAAACCAAAAAGAAATACATTTGAATAGCACAGGCCAGAATGGAAATATTCCTATTTTCTCTACAAAGATCTGTTAATAATCTGGGGACAGTGACTGACACATAACATATTTCCAAGGAAGAAAAATTCCCAAGGAGAAAATACATGGGGGTCTGGAGGGAAGAATCAACCTTGGTTATTAAAATAATAAGACCATTTCCCATTAGAATAATCACATAAATGATCAAAAACACACTGAAAAGAAATCCTTGCAAGTCAGGAAGTTCAGAAAAACTAAGCAAGATGAATTCTACCAATGTGTGATTCTCCTGTGGCACATTTTCCCCTGCAGATTCCATCTATAAACAAAATTATTTCAAAGTTTAGATGTCACTTCAACCTGCTGGGATCACCTACAGATCTGGACATACTGAGAAGTTCAGATTCACTGACATTAGATAAATGTTCAGCTCTGCTTACTTGTGTGTTTTTTTGGTAATAATTTCAAATCCAATATCCTAAAATATCAGTATGTAAACAAAGATAAGTAATCATTAATTATATTCTTCCTACTCATATAAAAGTTATGTATATACAAATAAAAAAGCACAAATAAGCAGCAATAAGTAAGACCAAGACATGTCAGGAAGTCTATTTTCTGCTGCGCTAGGGAACAGGTGACATTCTCTAATGAAAAATGTTTCTCATTTCTCATAAATCTGGTGTCTCTTTTCTTTTTATTTACTTATATTCTTCCAAGTGCCTTCTAGTTTATGATCCATTTATATGATTCTAACACTCCTGGTTTAGTGTGTTTCCTGTGAGATTCCTCTCAGATAAACCAAAGGCTAAGATGTTCAGCAAGTCTAGGTCATCTTGGGCTTTAGTACTCTGGGCCACTCCTTGTCTGGAAGACAAAAACACTAATCAGAAAAGTAAGAAATAGCATTTTTTCCTTGTCATAGAAACATACTCTATTTAATAAGTCATAAATATTTAAATTAGGAATACTGCGTCCCAGCAATTCATAAGATCACCTGAAGTTTGGAATGCAAAATAAAGTAAATATGATTTTGCTATAATATGTCCTAAATAGTATCTTGGTCCCCAACAACTCTTAACAACTCTCCTTATATTGTGAATGTCAGGCCTTAAGGAGTCATTGGATTACATAAGGAGTTTATGGGGATAATTTAACGAGGGAAAGAAAATATTAACCTGTGCAAAAAAATTGGATCCTAGAGATTGTACCTGACATCAGAAAAGAGGTGAAATCTTCCTTTATGTACTTCTGTGTTACTTCTGAAAATCAGTTTCTGAATCCAGATAATATCGAGTTGCTGGAAAAGTCATGAAGCATTTTTGCATAAAAAAATATAGAAAAGGTTGTCATGACTTTTCCAATGACCTAGTGTGTATTTATATATATTTGCATACATATATACAATTTTAATAAAATATAATATATAGTACATGTAATATATATTTATATTCTAAATATTTATCCCTAAATAATTATCAGAAAGCAGGGTACAAAAGGCAATGTAGGCGGAACCTAATCAGTTCCATCAAGAACTAAACATTTTTAGATTCAAAGTATTTGTTCACACTTTCTTCTACTTGACATATCATAGAGATAACTTTTGTGTGATTTCCATTATGTCTTATTTTTCCTCATTAATGCAGTGAGCTTTTTCATAGATTTAAATACTCCAAAGTCCTCATGTTTGTTTGTACTCTCATCGCAGTTTCTGAGACTTTAAATTCATCTTTCCTTCCCACAGAAAATGACTTCCCTTATTTCTATTAAGACTTCAAGTTCCTGTCCTCTCAGGGCCAGCAGTTGGCATCATGGCTATGTCGCTGGACTGCCATGTAGTTGACCACGGTTTGAATCCTGGACCGATGGCTTAAACTCAACACCACGCATACGTGTGAGCATGCCCAAGATCCCGAGAGGAGAATGGAGGAGAAGGGATTGTAGCATGACCATCTCTCCTGGGGGGAGATTTCTTGCTTTCTGTCTCTCTGTCTCTCTCTGTCTTTCTGATGAGCACACGCACCCTATAGCAAAAACCTCTCCAAAAAAAAAGGATTAATTTCTGTCCCATCTCAGAAATTCCAAACAGCAGAAACAACTTACAATTTCTACTTTTAATTTCTGGTTCTCTTTTTAATTGATTATTTATTTAGTTTTATGATTGATTATTCACATTTAAATGTGGCACATGTGGTTTTTTTTGAATATTCTGAGCCATAAAGAGCAGTGAGTTTCTATTATTTGATACAATTCAAAATAATATAGAAAATTGAACGCCAAGGGACCAGCAGTTAACGTACTGGATATGTCGCTGAACTCCCATGTAGCCATGTAGTCGAGTCCCGGACCTGGTGGCTTAAATTCTCGCCGGGTGCGTGTGCGTGCATGCCTAAGATCCCTAGAGGAGAATGGAGAAGAAGAGATTGCAGTGTGGCCATCCCCCCGTGAGGGGTGATTTCTCACTTTCTACCTCTCTGTCTTTCTGGCAAGCATATGCAGCCTATAACAAAAACCTTTTCAAAAAAAAAAAAAGATCGAATGCCAAGAGAAGTGAAACCAGACTGTGAAATGTCTTGCTTCTCACTAAACGCAAATTTATTCCATAGTTTAATGACTTCTCCATTCTGCCTTTAATTTTCCACATAATATCTAAAGTTCTCTTTTAGCTTTTATCTACTTATAGATCTGGATAATTAAGAGGAGGGACTGGGGAGGCTGAGATTAGAATATTATATTTTATAAACTAAGATCTAGTACAGTCCACAGTACCTTCTCTTGCAATCGTTTTTTCTGCACTTTTTTTTTATTTTCTTCTTCTTCTCATATTTCAGTAATTTTTTCGTCATTTTATATTTACTCAGAACTTTCAAATTTAGGTCTTTTTTCCCCTCATGTATTTTTTTCTTTATGAGTTATACTTTCGAAACACAATTGTAGCAGAAAGAAGATTAAATTTACAGAGATCTAGATGTGTTTGGGTGAATATGTAAAGCATTAAATCTAAATATATTGTTGTATACATTTTAATTTATTATGGACTGTGTAATATGTTAATATGAAGGATACTAATGATAAATATATATTTATGTATAATGAAAAAATACATGTCATTAATTTTTGTCTTTTTAAAAATTTAAATTGTATATTTTTTTGTAATGAAAGAAAGGGACTGGTACTCCTGAGAGGTCCCAAACATGACACCATCCTCCCCTCCCCAGTCTTTTTTTTTTTTTTTTTTGAGGTTTTTTTGCTATAGGGTGCGTGCGCTCGCCAGACAGACAGAGAGAGACAGAGAGACAGAAAGTGAGAAATCACCCTCCAGGGGGGATGGCCACGCTGCAGTCCCTTCTTCTCCATTCTCCTCTCGGGATCTTGGGCACGCACGCACACGCGCCCGGCATGAGTTCTAAGCCACCGGGTCCGGGACGCGAATCACGGTCGACTACGTGGGAATCCAGCGACATAGCCATTACGCTAACTGCTGGTTCCCCCTTCCCCAATCTTCTAGCTAACCAGGGTCATGGTTTACATGAATGAGCCCAATGAGTTCAGGTTGACCCAAGATCTGAACCCAAAATTCCCTCCTGGCTCCAGCCTCTCAAACTGATGCTCCAACTCTTGTATCAACATGAGTGGGCCTCAGTTTCTTTCCTAACATGGCTTATTGGCTGTGAAGTTAGACAAATTTCAGATATTATCTTAGAATATGCCAGAGTTTATGGAAAGAAAATTATAAGGTGTTATCCGAGGCCCACATAATTAGTTTAGAAAATTAACATTTAATCTGAAACACTGCCAATTTTTTTATCAAGTTTCCCAGAGGGCATGTGAGCTCACCAGAGAGACAGAGAGAAAGAAACACTAGAAAGCATCCCCCTCATGGGGGAATAGTCATGACAAATCCCTTCTCTATTCCTGTACTCTGTCTGGATTTGAGGCTGCATAGCGCATATGTACGCATGACTGGTGTTTTTGAGCAACTGGTCAGGAACTTGAATTTGTGGTTGGCCATGTGGGATCTACCCACCTTTACCAACAGAGTATAGGCTGGCCCCATTTAGGACATCACAGAATCATTTATTTAAATTTCCCTTTTAAGAAAAGAGACAAGGACCAACTGGTGACATGGGGATTATGGTGGCTGGATCCCACATGATCAACTGGGTGACTAGAGTCCTGGAACCAGAGGCTTGAAAACCACACCAGGCACATGTGTTAACCCTGAAGGGAGAGGTGAAGGAGAAAGGACTGAGTGTGACCAATGCCCATGGGTGGTGCTTCTTCATTTCTCTTTCTCTCTCTAGGGAGCACACATACACTCTATAAGTTAAAAACATAAATAAATAAAATTAAAATTAATGAAAATAAAAAGTTTTCCAAGAAATTCAATAATATTATGTCCTCATTCAATTTTTTAAATTTCCCTAGTCAAAGGCTTACATACAAGTGGTTCATCAGTATTTCCCACTGGTAACTGCAGGGATCAGTATTTCTCTCTGATCTCAGTAATCAAACTTCATTTAACTAGATTAAAGTACTCAAACCAAAGAAATTGCCATTGAATGACTAAAATAAAAACTAGACAGAGTCCCATAATACATCCTTATGGAAATTGTCAGAGCTTAATCTTTCTTGTTTGAAAATATTTGTAATAGTATATGACTCAGGAAGTTGTTCTAAGGAAAAGTAGCATATGTTGACCTGCTTGACTTAAAATAGACAGTTTGTTGTTCAGTTAGGCGTTGCTATATTTTATTTATTTATTTATTTATTTTGGAGAGGTTTGTGCTACAGGGCATGTGCACTCACCAGAAAGACAGAGAGAGAGACACAGAAAGAGAGAAATCACCCCTCAGGGGGTGCATCCACACCACAATCCCTTCTCCATTCTCATCTTGGGAACTTGGGCATGCATGCACATGCACCCAGCATGAGCTTAAGCCACCGGACCCGAACTGCAGTTGACTACATGGGAGTCCAACGACATAGCCATGATGCCAGCCGCTGGTCCCTAGGCATTGCTTTTATAATAATTATCATATGTCTTGTATATATTATTATTATTTTAACCTGTATTCTTTTTGTTCCTCTTGAACTTTGCTCATTGTTATGCTATCTGGAGTAAACTTGTCTTAATACAGAAGAAAGAATCTATAGGCCAATGTTTTGGCAGAATACTAAGCTCAAAATGACTACATTATACATTCATGACACAAATTAACAGTGATTTATTGAAAAAAAAAAAAACACTAAAAATCTGGACTTTCTTTTTTCCATCCTCATATGTAACGGTCTGTAAAGTTGTACTTAAGAGTTCAT